GATTCTCGTCTTTGTCACCAAAGTCTAGCTTCGCAGTGTTGTCAGACTTATTGTCAGGAACTGTCATGAGCTGCTCGGAATCACACTTCTCAACTATCTCCATCGTTTCTTTCGTTTCAGACTTGGTTTCCTCAAACTCGAGTTTCAGTTCCTCGGCAACGGTAACGGCGACGGCGACGTCGTCTCCCGTCTCGTCCTCGGATGCCTTGTCGGCTAGCTTTGCTCTAAATGACGCTGGCATATGTGTTTCTTCCAATTTCATGCACTCGTCGACTGCCGGTTCGTCGCGTTGTCTGTCGGGACTATCTGGTGGCAGTTCACAGGAGGAAGAAGAGGACTCAACGTCGACGACATCGATCTTGTATCCATATCTACCGGGAAAGATCGAGTCGAGAAAACCGTCGTTTGTGCAACCGCTTTTGACTCCTTCGTTGACACCGTCGCTGCCACTGTCGCTTCCACCGTCGCTTCCACCGTCGCTTCCACCGTCACTGCCGACGTCGTTACTGCCATCGTTGTCTCCTTCGTGCACTTCTTCTCGGTCGCAGTCTGACTCTGCCTTCGATTCTGGCAATTTATTCGGTCGAGCTTTGGAAATTCCAGAGGAGACGTTGAGTACCTATTGTCAACAACAAAACTTTATATTACTATATGTCTCGAGAGTGCAATGATAATCAAAATTTCGTCTAATATAATTGAAATGTACATTCGAATGTTTTGTATTCTTCCAATATCAATCATTCTGCAGGATAATTATATACAATATCTTTAACAGAAAAATTCTTTGTTCCATTGGTATATTCGTTATAAAAGATATGTGAGAATTATAGAGTATTTTAATCAATGTCACGTGACCGACGAGGCAAACAACCTCTGCCCTCTATTGAAACCATTGATTGGTTTATATTTTAAATGCAAAAAAGAATTTAATGGCAGTTAATTAGTTGTTTGGTATTAAGAAGTTATTTTCTCGCATGTCAATCCAATCTGTATTTATTTGTAAATACAAAATTGATTTGCTTTGCCGAAGATTTACAGTTCCTTTGATTTTGATCACTAGTATCTTATTGTTACATCTACTGATTAGGCAACGATGTTAGAAGAATTATTGTAGAAAATCATCTATTTCATAATAATTGCATAATAAACTTTGATCTCATTATGTATGTTTTAGTATATTATATATTATTGATGTGTATAATAAAAATATATTTTTAATAGTAAGATTAAAACTACAAAATTTGAGTTTTAAAAGTAAAAAGTTAGGTTAAGTGGTGTGAATAATGTTCGAGATCTTGCTACATTACAACATAAATTAATACAAATATTAATTTAATGAAATGCAAATAACACGATTTAAGAAATAAACTTTTTTTGATACATTATAATCAGTGCAAATGATATTCTTTGGGTAGACATACGTATGCAAAATAAAAATTGATAAATTGTGTAAAATATGTAAATGTTATATCATTATATATTGAAAAAGAAGAAAAGTCATTTTTATATATTAAATTTTGTTAAATTTAAAAACATTTATTCTAATTCTTAATGAAAGATAAAGAAACCGATAGATAAAACTATATAATAAAATTTAGTTCGAAAAGGTATAAATATACTTGCATTATATTATATCTAAGTAAATTTAAAAAGAAAATATATAATTACTGGACATAGAAAAATAAAAAATCTCTAACGTCAAAAAATGAATGCAAATTGAAATCAGTTTGCTCTAAAATGTGGAATGAATTGAATTTAAAATTTTGAATCGACATTTCAGTAAACACAAACTTTTGTGATAAAATTGTAAATAAACGTTTTAAACAAATGTCAAATGTCAAATTCAACTGAAGGTATATACAATCATAACTTACTTACAAAACTACCAAACATAAGTAAAGTATTTTATTATACCAATGGAAAATATATTGCTTAATTAACAAAATAGTGAAGTTGAAATAACGTGGAATTTTACTAAATATGTGGGAAATGATTTGTCTAAATATTTACCTCGGGTTCTCGATTTTTCGTCTCGTCAGTTGATGATTCCAACTCGATAAGGTCTGGTACTCCAGAGGAGCTTTCCGAGATATAAACGCAATCGGCCGAATTTTCGCTGGTATGCTCAGCTCCTTCGTCATCATTGCAGAAGACTTCAACAGTGACGTAGTTACCGGACTTTGCGATCGTAAGTCCAGATTGTTGAGATTCAGGTCTAATGGTGGCTCTGTCCGACCATTTATAATCGAGAACTGACAATCCTTGCTTTGATTTGACTGGACTTGTATCGGCGCTCCAGCGTCTACAAAAGAATCAATTTTTTTGCTAAATATAATTTTCCTATTTATCTTCACTAATAAATTATCAGAATATATTTATTTTTTTATATGACTGGATTCAATATCTTTAATACATTGATTAAATGTTGAAATTTGAATTTACTATGAATTATTTTAGATATATATGAATTTTATGTTTAATTGACCATGAAACTTTTCTGATATATTTATACAAAGAAAAACTTAATATTTAAGATGATAAATAATTTCGTTTTAATTAATAATTAATTAGGTGTATATAGATAGGCTGTATTATAGAATTTATATATTTTATTAAAAGAATTTCAGTTTTTAAATATCAAGAAAAACTTAATTATCATCTTCAATGTAATCTGTATTTAAATCAATTGAATCAATATTATATTTTTAAGTATAATTTTTAATTTACATATTATATCGATTTAATCAAACTTATAATTTAAAAAGGATTTATTACCAAAAAGCTAGTATTCTTGATATATTGCTTTGTGTATACTTTTTTTAATGAATCAACTTACCGTTTAAATATTATTGATAACAAATATAACAAATATAATTGATAACAAGAAATTATTACAACATTCAGAGTAACTTATTTAAAGTTATCCTGACATTGTTCTATCATGTAAAAACTTTAAAACTTACAAGGTTGCAATACTATTTAACTTATGAGTATCGCTTAGATGAAATATAATAAATTTATTATACTTTTTTAAATCATCATATTAAGTTTTAGATAAGTAATTTTAACGTATTAAAAACAAAAAGAATAAAACATAATAATTCATAATATTTTATTTATATAACGATTATTAATTATTAATTTCTAAGTAATTTCGATACTACGTTCAATACAAATTACAATCAATGGTTAAACATATTGGCATATTAAAACAATATCGATAACATTATAGTGACAGTTTTAAATTGCAGCAACAATTATTAAATATTATTAGAAGAGATTAATTAAGCTTTTAATACCACATGTGCATTTATCTATAATTTGTCGCCGATTAAATATCAAGTTTATTAAATCTACATCAATTGTATAAATAATGCATGTCAAGTAATATCTTGATTGTTTTAAATATCTACAAAAATGACATTTTTTAGTCGAATGTAATTAAAAGAAAATTCTTTAATCAACAATATTTCTAAATTATCTAAAACTATAAAAGCAGCATCATATAAAGGCTTAAATTAATTGCATAAAAAATACATCATTTATTTTAAAAGTATAGTCTGTTGGTCGCTACGATTCTCGACGAACCTTTGTCCAAGGGAATGCCCGGAGACCTTTCCGACAACGAGAAACGACTTTCCGTGGGGGACGATCTCTTGACTTTGACGCAGAAGAAGTCTTGATTCGACATCCGTAGGAGTGGTTGGAGTGGTGGCGTTTGGCTGTGAGAGCTGGTTGAGAAGGATCGAGGACTGCTGCTGCTGCTGCTGCTGCTGCTGCTTCTGTTGCTCGACAATATCCTGGCCGAATCGTGAAGCGGCACCTGCTGTGGCAGTTCCCGTCGATGATCCCTAATAAAATTTATTCGATTAGACAGTTTCACAAGTGTATTAATCAACTGATATAACTAGTCATTATAGCCAATATTATCGATTTTTTTCAAGCTTTTGCAATTAAGGCCACTCGAATATTCTTATATTATTGTCTATGAAGTATTATTCAACAATATTGCGTCTATATTTACTAAATACCATCTATATTAAACATTAATCGATAAAAAGTGTAAATACGAACGGTACTGATTAATTTCAAGTACATTTTACAAAAACTAATCCTTTATGTTAAATATAAGCACTTAATAAAAACTGTATGTATGTGTCTGTTTATACGTTAAAAGATTCTATGTACAAAAAAAAAAAAAAATTTAACTTGCAATAAAGCATGAAAGTTATTTTTAAAGATTTAATTTTACTAATATTTAATTTAATTTAATTTCTAATAATATTTAATTTTTATATTAAAAACGCAATTATGAACAGAATACTTATTTATGTTAAGTGTTATTCTTACTATAATTATTTAATAGTTAATTAAAAATTTTAACTTAATACATTAGTATCCAAAAAAAAAAAAAAAAAAAAAACGAACATTAAAATCAATGTTGCTCGGTAGAAAAAACAAGTCCAGCGATTAGCCTTGGCTTGCTGAACTTACAACTCTTACCAGAGCGGAGGAGGAAGAGACGGGGAGCTGCTCGTTGACGGTCGAAACGGAGACGTCGTCGTCCGGAGTGGCGGCGATTGGTATGAGGAAGGTCGAGGAGGGCAGCTGGTTGATGCCGAGGGCCGCTGCGGTGAGAAGCTGCCGCGTCTGAGCTGCATCAGCCTTGCAAAGTCCAGTAGACGATTTATGGACTTCCGAGTCTTCTCCCGTGTTCCCAAAAGCTCGCGACGCGTACGCTGCTGCAACTGCGGACGAGTCAATGAATTTTACTTGTTTACACGTGAGTCGAAGATGAGATGCGGACGAGCTGATCCCAGCCACGCACCCACCCCATTGGATTTTAAATCTTAATGGATATTGGACACTAGGCAAGCATCTTTCAGCTTGAAAAATCATCGACAAATTGCCTATGATAATTATTGAGATGATTTCAACACGAGGCATATGTAAAGTAACAAAGATCCAATATCATTTATTTATCAAAAAATTTTTAATTCTAGACGTAAGAAAACATTTTGTTATTGGAAAACTGCTTTTAATTTTTACTACGACAAAGATTTTCTTTTACTTACTAAAGAATTACATAATTAGTAGTTTTATAATGGTATTTATTAAATTATTCCAATGTCTCTTTCTCGTACATAAAATTATTTTCTATTGCATAACTATAATTTTTGTTTACCTATATATAATATGTAATTTAACGGAATATAAAAAAACTTAGAAAATGTAGAAAAAATATCGAACCTCGAATAAATTTGTTAAAAATAAAATGTTTACCAATCTTACAAATCTATTAAAGAAATAAATCGATAATATTATAAAATTTAATATAATATTATAAAAGCTATAATATTATAAAAATACCTGCGATTACAATATCATATGATAATATTTTGATAATCTATCTTATGATAATCATAGTTAAAAACCGTAATCACAAATTTGCCTTTTATTGGGAAAAATGACTCTTAAAGATATTCTCCAATCCAAATTGAAATTTTCTCCTGAGATGTTGAATGTATTTAACGATATATTATTTTACTTATATTTTTCAAGATTAAATTTCGTTTTGAACATGGAATACAAAATATGTGGTCATATTAACTCAAAAAAAGATATTTAAAACAGCAAAAAAGAAATGCCTGTTTTAATGAAAAAACAATGGCGGCATATATATATATATATATATATATATATATATATATATATATAATATTGCCTCAGCTAATTATTCTAAAAACTACTAATAAAAAGCTCTATTGTTTTCAAAAGCAGTTTGATAATATCATAAGCGACAACATATAATGCTAATATTAAAATTTAGCAGAAACATTTGTGATAACCACTTCATGTAATTTGATTGATCATGCAATAAGCTTTGTTTAGAGAAAAAAAATGTTAATGATTAGATGATTTTAACATAATAAAATGTTGGCAAGCCTTTTATATTTACTACCTTATGTGATGAAATGCACACATTATGGTAGAAGCTAAACTTCAATTTTCATCACACAAATATCTTTCATCATATTTTTTTAAAATCATCCATCATATATATTTAATTGGTGAAATCTACTAGGTAAGAATTTTGAACGCTTAGATATGATAATTAATTATCATATAAGAAACTTCACATATACAAGATATCAAAAAATTGAAGGAACTTAAATAACAAAATAATGAACTTTCAAATTTTCGAAAAAAAATAAATATCTTTGATAAAATTTTGAAAAATTATTTATTCTATATATATTTAATTAATACGATTTACTAAGCAAGCATTTTCTAACGCTTATATACAAATACAATTTACTTTAATAAAAAAGATTTCTCCTTAATACAAGAGATTATTGATAAAAACATTATTGTCAGAACAGACAGATTTAAAATAGAATCTATAATAATAATACTTGCGTTGAAATCGTGATAAGCAATGACATGATAATATTTGACACCGATAATAATTCTTTAGAGATATTTGAGCATAATCCGAATGGTAAAAATATGAAAAGAAAAGCATTTAATTGTACATATAAGAAGAGGCATTCGTATGAAAATAATGAAGGGAAGTAGACAAGGAATACATTTACTTCTAATAAATGCATACAAGTACTATTCATGGTCTTTACGAATGTCATTCTAAAAATGGGTAAAATAAAAAAACGACAATTAATAATTAATCTAATTAACTGTTCCACATAATGCGTCTGCTCTACTGAGTATTCATAAACTGCGCGTCGAACGTCACACGAACCTGTAAGGATTGGCTGATTAGTTGCGAGCGCTTTTCCAAATCGTAGACCTGCAATCTCAGGTCAGTGTTGCGCTCGCGCAGCTCATATCTCACTCTCTCTCTCTCCTCTGCAAGATATTTCGCGCTTATTACGTTGCTCTCTCGGCTCTTACTCCTGTCTTATCAACGTCGAGCGAAAAGTTCTGTTTACGAAAGCAACAAAAACCTTCAAACTTCTTTGTTTACAGGGTTCGATTGTCGTCATTTTTGGTCAAAATTATACATACATTTTTAAATATACGCATACATGAGAATATTTAACCCTTTAATCAGTTGCGCTAAACTTTTATATACTTTTGCGCAACTGTTCACGTAACATCCCAAGGATATCCCATTGATTACGAAACATTTTTTCTTAATATTGGCAAATATTTAATGCCATATTATTATTTCATTATTTAATATTTAATTTTTTTAATATTATTTAATTGTTTTAGGATTTATTATTTAATTGTAAGTTTTAAATTCTCAAATTGTGAAAATCAATCGAGCACCCATGTCAATTATTGTTTTGATTAATAAATGAAAGTTTATATATTTTTCAAATAATTAATGTAAAATTTTTTTTTTTTTTTTAACACGGACAGGTAAGTTCTACATAATAATGTGAGAGAAAGATGAGCTCCACGAAACATTAAAGATGTCACATGAACGATTAAAAGCTAAATACAATAATAAATAATTATATAAATACAAACGTAGCCAATAACGTTTTATATTGTCTTTTCTCATATGTGTAAAGTTTAGCTATAAATGGACAGAACTTTCCATCGATCTGATTGTTTTTCAATCACCGAATCAAAGAATTCGTCCCTAGAGGCAGAGGATAGTATATAAGCACGCTAATGCGATAGGAAATCGAAATATTTACCTGTTTCTTTATCTTTCTTGATGCTCTTCATTTCGAGCCTCAGAATTTCGAGATCAGCCGATGTGAGGCCTTTGCTTCTAAAGCGAACTGCACATTTAGGACAATAACAGGATGACGCCGGGGACGTGGTGTGACACGAGACGTGGAACTTTGCCGAGCAATACTCGCACACGGTTAGTGTACCTGAGAGTAAAAGTACATTGTAGAAAATTATTTGTGAATTTTTTTAATTCATCCAGTTGTCAATCGATGCAATAATAATAGCAAAATATATTCAGTGTCTAAATTTGCCACCGTCTGATCAATAATATTGACGAATCGTAACGTCGGACTAACATGTATATTATATTCTTATAGACGAAGAGATGTTAATTCGATTATTTAATTTCAAGTCAATTTTATGTAAAGTTAAGCTTAATGTTTTTCTATTAAGATAATTTTGACACGATTAGATTGAGTAGTTTATACTAACTAAGCGAATGAAAGTATCCGTACGCAATTATATATAATGATAAAATGCTCTAGGTAGATAACTTTATTTATATTTGTGAAATATTTAATAGAAATTATTTTTTGCTATTTTCATTTTTAAAGAGGTTAATAAGTAGGTCAGGGTATTTGTAAAATGAAAGTAAATTCCCTTGATCAAGATTAGCCTTTTCCCTCTTTAACCATATATAAATTCAAGAAATATTCAAACGAACCAATTAACATCGCTCATATTGATTAGAATAAGAGCCACGCGGCTATGAGCTGCGCTAATGCAATCGTTTGAAAAACGCCATTAATATTCATTATTCGTTACATGGCAAAAAGTACATCTCGCGAAAATACATTTGCAAATTAATTGGATGGACAGATTTCATATCATCGGCATCGGCTGCGATAATGGTCGAAGGTCTTATAGTGCTAGCTAACCTCACCTGGATTTCTGCACGCGATGCAAACAGTCGAGTCGTTCTCGATCCTCTCAATGGTCAAGCCCGAGGGCAAGCCGGGTATGTGAACCGCCCTGCCGGTGGAGGTCGTCTGCGAGAGCTTCTCTTGGTACATGCTGGCCTCGACTCGAGCGTTCGACTTGTCCGACTCCTGCTTTATCGACTTGCCGTACACCTCCTTCGACTGCTGTTTACCATCGCCGTTGCGCAGAATATTGGGAGTCTTGGCCACCTGGATGAGCGACTTGGTCGCAACACCGGTGCTCTTAGCCGTCCTCGAACCGGAATTAGTCTTCGTCGGAGGCGGGGGCGATGGCCCGTTAAGACGCGCAGTCGTTTGACGCGTCTGTGGCGCATTGCCCAACGACTGCAGATAAGCGTGACGTTTACGCTTCTGCAATACATTAACACTCTGATCAGATGCACTTTTTGGAGGCATTTCTAGCCGAGAGTTGAGAGTTAAGGGCTCGTCGGGGAATTTTATATCTTCGCGTTTCGCAAACACCGGTTGATGCGAGAGGATACCGCCGTTACATGGATGTCAATATATACAGGATTCGTGAATGCGATTAACAGTTCACACGATGTTTTATTCATTGTCGTTATAAGTGGATTTATATAGATGAGAGACGGACTACTACTACTGGAGTGTCTACTATAAAAATTCGACGCTTCGTAAAATTTACTTTTGTTCTTCGGTCAATCTATTGCACGTGTCGTAGAATAATTTATTTGCATGTCAAAAATTATGCAGGCCACTTTCAATGAAAACTTTGAAAACAATCCAACTATCGAAGATGCTTAATTACATTTAATATTCCCTGCAAATAACAAATAAAATGATGAATCTTAAAATATCATAAATTTAAGTATTTAGTGTTATTTGACTATTATTCTTATAAGAATCAATATAATCGTTTTGTAGTGATACATTTTGCGTTTAACTACCAATTCAGGAAATCTTAACCTTAATGTTTAAAAAAATAATTAAATAATTATTTTCCTAACATTTTTCAACATCGCACTTTATAGAATATACTCAAAGAAAAAGAAAAAAAAAAGAAAAAGAAAAGAAAAGGAAAATTAAAAAATATAACTAAAAAATAGAAAAATTACTACGTTAAATTATTTTAGCATAGCGGGTGTTAATAAGAATTACAATAAATAATATCGTATTGCAACTAGTTAATCAGAATGGATATCTAAATGTAAAATCTTTGCTCAAATCAGTAAATTAATTCAGTCGTAAAAATACAACATCCGCATCCACTTAAAAATCACGCTTACTAAATTATATGCATTAACAAGTGTAAAAAACAAGCGTATTTGAATGGAACTTCAATCATCCTTAGTTTTAGCGAATGATACTTATTGAAAAAAATAATTCTGTAAGTCTAATTATTAAGCCATAGTATAATTAAACAATCGTGCAAAGAAAATAAATTCAATCGGGTTACACTTTTTGATAGCTTACTCACAAAAACCAGTCAATAACTGAATGTCTACGACTACGAAATAAAAATAGACTATAGAACTTTTCCATCCAGCAATTATGCATTTCGTTTTGAAAAACTATTTTCAACTATTTCTAAAAGCAGTTTCTCTTTGCAATGAAATTCGATGTTGATTTGCATTTATTGTTTATACTTCTTTTGAATGAATATCAAATATGATTTATTATAAAATAAAAGAAAATGTTTTATTTATTTTATTTATATATTTTATCGTCACACTTCTTTTTTCTTCTTCTGAAGAACAATGGACAAATACAGTCACAAGTGTCTAACGTCGATCAAGTTATTTATAAAAGAAATGGAAGTTTACATAAATTTAATATCACAGGTTATATTTTATCGTATTATTGTATGCTTACTTTTCATTATAATTTCATTGAGTCTTTTATTATTCTTTATAACTGCATGTCACACAGAAATGTTGGCACATAGAAGAAATTCAAAAATAATATTAAAATTTATTGATAGAACAGAATAATTAAAATTTGCCGATCTAACTTTGTTATATTGAAATAAATTCATTATTTTCATTGCTAGTGTTAATCAGGCATAAACGGCATTTTTTATATATTTTACAATTTATTTTTAAAAGAAACTATATACGCTATAAATTTGTAATACATAAATAAAAAAATCGCACAAAACTTAAGCTTTAAATAGGCTATTTAATTTAAATACACGATGAAAAGGCCAATTATTATTAGAACAATATAATTTTTACAATCTAAAATATTGAAGTTAATTGAATGATTATTTAAGTTAAAGAACTGTGTCGATAATGCAAGCAAATTCACTTTTTTGTACATTTACAAACCTTTCATCTCTTGGAATCAAGCTTTGATTAGTTTGTAAGTGTTACAAAAATAATGTTTTTTCTTGACAAATATAAATTTTATATTTTATATCCTAACTGAGATAAGAAATAAAAGTACGTTTTTGCGTGCACGTCTACGAACGTATAAGAAAATTATGAACAATTGGACTATAATTAAAATGAAATTATATAAAAATCTATAATATGTTTATCCATAATATGTTTCTTAAATCCGAAAAATTATATTAATTGTCAGGAAGAAGCTTTGCCTAATAACAAGATAACAATAACTTATAACAGTATATTAGTAGTTTAAAAAATTGATTTTTTCATAATATTTTAACTTTGAAGAAAAGTTATAGACACGAAGAAAAATATACACAGGATGGAAAATAAGATTGACATAAAAATATAAAAGTGGCCGATGGTTCATATTGTATTTAAAATACAGTTTATAAATTCCGAAATTAATATTCATATTGCTTTAAATTTTACATAATTTTAAATATATAATCACTGCTTCTGTAACTTAAAACATTTATTTAACAATTCAGATACGATTGCGAGTAAATATTGTAATCAAGCAAAAATATGCCTTCCAATTAATTAATATTATTGAAATTGAATTAAATAATATCTTTTTTAAAAATGGATCAAATCTAAATAATATTATGACGTTAAATTTGTCCTCGGAAAAGGATGATGTTCACAGTCGACAAAATAGTATTATCAAAATAATCTTCAGGTGTAACCAACCCCAATCGCTGTACTGTAAATACTATTCATAAATGGCTAGTAAAAAGGTTAACGTTAAAACCTTTTAAATTCTATCACTACAACTATCTACAATATCTCTGCCAAGAAAATCAATTAAAATATGTGATGAAACATCATGTACAGTTTGTATCAAATATCCACTACTCCAAGCATTTTTCATATTTTTTCAATCGTTTTTATTATCCTATCAATAATTACAATACAATGAATTATAAGAGAACATAATATATTAATATAAAGTATATTTCATTATGATATACTCGAGTGTCAAAATTCATAATTGAACGTTTTTAACAATATATATTAAACCATTTATTGTATTTGATTTGTATATTACTAATAAGATTAATTATTATAATTTTACTATTAGTAAATTCATGCATAAGATAGTGCAAGCACAGATTTCTATTTTCTGAGATATAATGACAATTCTCATATTTTAAATTCCAGCTAATAATAATACAACAAGTCTTTAAAATATTTGAGAATTTTATTTCACTGGATAATAACAGAAAGTTCCGGAAGGAAAGCTTCTTACTAATTTATTGTATAATCTTTCTATTTTAAGTCTACTATTCCTATAGCATTTTTAAATCAGTAACACTTTAATTAAATTGTGTGAAATGGTATTGTTTTATGAATCGAATACAAGAAAAATGCAATTTCATTTTTATCGTATCCATATTTTAGAAATAAATTAGAAAAATACACATATAAATTCTTACGTATAAGAGGAACGAAAAGGAATTTTAAAGGAAATTTTCCATCAAATGACGTTGCCTTATTTTGCAATAATATTCAATAAAAAATTCGCGTTATTAATGTTTAGATATATCATCGTTAAAATTCAATCTCCTAAATCAAAATGTAAAGTGCAATTAGGACTATAATTTCTTACAATAACATATAATTGTAATCAGTGTATGCACTAAGTTAACATGAGAAAAAGTTTGCTAGGCATTCATAATTGCGTAACCAAGACTAAAACTCTGATGACAATACTAATCTACAAAATTACGAGCGTAATATTAAAAAAAAAAAAAAAAAAAAAAAAAAAAATCGTAAATGAAAGTAATAATCTTAAACAATGAAATAATTATTATAATTTGTAAGCGAATAATTATGAATTGATTCATGATGATTTGATTGTTGCAAATAACTTTATAATTGTTAGAGTAGATGTGGGAACTCTCGCTGTAGATTAATATGAATTGATTCCCATAAACGGAGACGTTCAAGTGAGATAGACGAGAGGACATCTATGATATATTCAGTGCTATGAGTGATTGTATGCCTTTACGGTGAGAAATAATTCTCGAATGAGGTAGTAAGCACAATCCCAAGGATGAATGCGATGGGAGATATTTATGCTGTGGAAAAGTATTGGAAATTGTAAAGGAGAATTGAGGCGGGTGAGATATTATTTGTTCCGGGCTCACATTCGCGGGGATGTCAAATCCTCGAAAACGATAACCATGTAATAAAAAGTGTCGAAGAAATTTACTAAAAATATAAGACGATATGCCGTTAGGTTAAAGGAAGATGGTAAAAGCCATTTCGTTGATCGAAAAACAATACTTCTTTATTGAATTTGTCTAGTAAAAAATAGCATATAATCATATTATTTTACTTACAGTTAACTTATTTATCAAATAACTTATTATCAAGCGATAAAAAATTCTTTTAAACTATTGAAATTTACGAATAATATGGAAAATCTAGATGATTGAATTAATTTGAAGGAATTGAATTTTATATTCAATTCAATAATAATCATCCATGAAAGATTTGCAAAATTATAATATATTTGGATACTTTAATACATACTATTCTTTATGCAATAAAATGATGTAATTTATAAGATAATATATAATACAAATTATTTATACAAAAATATTTAATAATAGAGTTTGCGAACTTTTTATTATATTTTTCTATATTATATACGTCGAAAGAAATATGCGAACACATTCTAAACAATAAATCAATAATGCACAATTGATAGTTTTTTTTTTTTTTTTTTTTTTAAGCAAAATATTTTAAAATTAAACACAACTATAATGTCACTATTTAGTGTTCTTAACGACTATCTTATTGTTTTGAAATTCAAAAATAGCATGGATTTCAAACGTGATTCTCCAGCTTTACATAATAGCCATTATAGAAAAAAATAAAATTTTAGAAAATTCCTTGAAATAATTATTTATTCGTTTAAAAAGAAATTTACAATTTATCTGAATTTAAAATTTTTCTATGCATATTTATATTGACAAATATTATCACAAATAAATTCAATGAATCCACTAAATCAAATTAATACATTTATTGAAAAATGTAGGCACTTTTCAGTGGATTACTATTAAAGACAAATTTTTCCAATTGTAGCAATTAGCTTTTCAGAAAATGAAATTAAGCTTGTAACATTCGCTTGAAAATATAATAGAAATTCAGTATAAATACGGTAATTAGAAATCTATAATTTGGAGAATGAAATTTTGCGCCAGTATAGTAAAATTCTAGTGTAAGCTACTTTCGTGTATATGTCTGCATGCATAAAGAACTGATATCCTTAGCCAAGATATATTGATCTAAATCGTATGAATATCACATTGATTTAATTGCCTCTATCAGTACAGTAAGCTCGACATTGTTCGTAGGAAGAAGTACGTACTTATCAACCAAGGAAATTCTTATTAAAAGTAACCGCGTCAGGATGTGGCCCACAAAGACATAAAGCCACTTACCATGGGTACCTCCCAATTGGAGTAGACGAAATGGGAATTTGCGGTGCTGCGTCGTTTACGCTCCGCTCGTTTGTTCTGTAGCTCTAGGAGGCGTGCGCTGGTGATGAGGCCGAGGCAGCCCAAAAAATATTGCTGCTCGCGCACCGTCATCAACGGGGCTGCAACCATTTTCGTCGTTGTTGTCGTCGATATTGTCATTGTCGTTGGCGCTACCGACGGCTTCAGCTTCTCATCCACTTCCAGTTCCGGACTGCCGGGCTGCTGTAATGGCACTTCCACGATCTCGTCCTCACCGGAGACTGGCTCCATTGAACTCGAGCGTCGCTCCCTAAGGTAATTTCATCACGTCAGAATTAATAAATCCAATACCTTACGCTATTTAGACTTTTATCGCTTGGTTAAACGCGCGTGAGCGAATGTCCAAAAAACCAAAATCTCATTATTCGCATAGAAAAACTTTATCAGCCCTACCTTTTCCCCTTCCTTCTTAAAACGCTTTGATTATGATGATTATACAAGGACGGGAGATACGAGGTAGCAAAGCTATCCACGATTTTTCTTAATATTGTGCGATTATTTTTACATTAACATGAATTATATATCGGAACGAGGGTGAAACTAGAGATTTATTATGAAGCAGATATTTCTACCCTACCATAAAATGGAGAAATTTTCAGACCAAGTTAGTTACGTAATAGAGAAAAGTTATATTTTCATATAATTAGTAAAGTAATAATTTTTACTTAGTCATAATTCATATAAAAAGTTCAGCATTGATGCAAAAAACTTTCCGATTAAAAATATTTATTTAGAAATTAATTGACTTTCTATTTTAGCTTTTATGAAGATTGAATTTTTAATTCGACATAAATTCAAATATTCGATAAAATATTTATGAATAGTTTCTCAACTTACAATATATTGAGAAACTTTTTATTGTTAATAATGTAAATATAATCCGTGAACATGTTAAACTTTTGCTAATATAATAAAGTTATTTAATATGATGTTATTTTTCATAATTATAAACCAGGCAGTTAGTAAACATTAATAGATCAATTTTACATATTATCAAGCTTATATGTAGTAAAATTTAGAAAATTTAAGTTATAATTTTATAAGCAGCAAATAAAACTAAAATTGCTTGATTCGCTTTTTGAATATTCGACAATATTGACTTTATATTATTACATAGTAAATGTGGATCAATTAGACTGTAAAAAAAGTAAAGATGTTGATTTATTAATAAGACAACATTGCATAATTCAATTCTCAAACATCGCGGCTAAATTATTGTTTGGTAAGAGTATATTCTGTAAAGTTCAAGAATTTGTATAAAAAAATTCTAAAAAATCAATTTTTTTTTATTATAGAAATCTATGTTCATTGATATTTAGTTTAATATTATTTACAATCTATGATTTCAATTTGTTTGTCTTATTTATTTATTTATCAGTTTTTTATTTTTAATTTTATTTTATATTTTATTTTAGGTTGTTGAAAAACGATTTGCAAAATGTCAAATATTAAACTTCACGCTATTATTATTAACTTATTTTATAATATACTTGATTATACTTTCAGCTATTGCGACTCATTTTCTATATTACCTAATAATATAATTTCATTTGAAGAAATTTATATCGGAAATACAGAAATATTTGATTATTGAGCATACTGATATTTTTTATTAAGCAACGACAAAATTTAAAATATATCTAAATAATAAAAAACAAATTTTGTCTTAAATCTCAGAAATATCTTTACATTTTGTAGAGTTTTGTTTTTACTGATAAATATATGTCTTTCTCAAACGAAAGACAATTTGTTTTTCACGTAAATTGAAGTTACGTGACACTATAATTAGTATTTTCATAAAATAGAAAATTTACAAAAGCAGTAGAGCAATCAATATGAACATACATAATCGACGGCTTACGGCATCCAATTATTAGACGGCAAACGTATCGATCCATCGAAAATCATTCCCTTAGAAGGACAAAGAGAAAGATGAGATAAAGGAGACGAAGGGGAGGAAACAGGGTGCACACCATCAATAATCGGAAAATCAGGCTTAGGAAGCATTTAAAGCATCAGATGAGAAGTCGGAATGAACGATTGACTCACTTGACGCCATTGTCCTCGCAAAGCGGTGAGCCAACGTCGCCGTTCCTCACAATTTCCTCGTAGTCTTCCTTCGACGAGCCTCTGCTCTCCGAATGTCCGTTCAGACCATTTTCGTGTTCTGCGATATCGGTGCGCCTCGACGCCTCGTTATTGTTGGTTATGTGGTTGTTGTTGTTGCTTAGGCCGAGGAGCGAGGCAACTGAGATTTTTGCACCATTCAGCGCATTTTCCGCCTTGAATGCCTCCACCTCCTTACGCAGCCGCTGGACCACTTGTTTCTAAAAAGGAAAGAAAAGCAAGAAAACGCATTAGAGTTGAGATAAATTTGTGGCAGCCAAACACGAACTCTCATCGTGGGAAAAGTGCACAAACATTAGTGTCAAAATTTCTCGTTAGTTTTCGTTAAATCGGGCACGAGCTTTAATTTCTCAAATTTAAGTTAATCTTTTACCACGTTAATAGGAGCGAAAGAAATTTTGTAAATGAGACAGATTTGCCTTCAATGCAGTCTAATTACTAGCGTCTCATTAGCTTTATTTCTTATTTTTATTCTGATTTATTAAATTGATAATAAAGTCAAATTGATGCAGATATGTATCATAAACATTTAATTTTATTTACACAGTGACATCACATTATATTTTATATTAAATTTCTCTACACCAAACTTTAAATAAATTTTAAGTATCCTGATAAATAATAGATTTATATTGGCTATTGTCGAAATTTTATAAGCCAATAAGTTAATCGGATTTACCACAACAAATATATTAATTACCTATTAATATTTGGATTTTTAAAGCATTAAGTATAATAATTGAGATCCAAAAATTAGTTTGTATGATATATTAAAAATATTTCCGAATTAAATGTGTGTGCTTAATTGATTGTAAAAGGCAAGAAATTAATAAAAACAATATCTAAAATATAATAATATATGTAATATATAAATTAAATTAGATTATTTTTAACTAGATTATTTTTAGATTAACCAATTAATAATAATAATAATAATAACAATAACAATAACAATAATAATAATAATAATAATAATCTTTAATGATTTCATTAATAATAGCTTTAATTAATGAATATTTATTAAATATATATCAAATGTTCTTTATTATATTATGATATTAAGTTTACTACAAAAAAAAAAATTCATTCGGGATTACACTTTGTAAATACGATTAGGGCGGATTATTAGTGGGTTTTTTGTTTTTTTTTTTTTTTTTTTTTTTTTTATATAAAAAACTTTAAACAAAACAAACATATAAATAACGATATTGCTGTGGAATAAATTTCTTAAAATATTTGCTTCTTTAGAAAATAAATTGTAATTTTCTGAGAATAGTAAACAAAAATAGATTGTTTTACAAATAAAGAACCATTCTAGAATTTCATAATAGTAGTATTCATGTCGATTTTATATAATACTTTCAAGTAATATTAATTCGTTCATAAATTACAAGAAAACAAAAAACAAAAATAATTGTAATAAAAATTTCATTCGTATTAATAAAATCCATTGAATCAGAAAAGGTTATACTTTAGATAATTGAATTTCGTTTAACTCTTTTACGCAATGTCGAATTTAATAACAATGCATATCTTATTATATTATACAAAGTAAATATCGGGCTGTACGGAATATTTTCTATAAACCAACCGTTGTACATTTTTTAAATATTAAATTTTCAAAGTTTAGTATCCGTGCCGTATCTAAAGATTTTATTAGATTTTTACATCGCAGAAAAGATTAGCGGTTTATGCTCGAATTCACTATATAAACATCTATATTTATATATACGTTTGTATATAATCCCAATATTCTGAATTCCATGAATTGTAAATGAATCGAATGTACAAAGAAGCTGTTACATGACTTATGATTGACATTTACAATAATAATAAAAAAACACATATAAATCATAGAGTCGACAAAATAATCTAATAATTTACAGATATATCAAGTATGTTTTCTAAAAGTATGTATTCTTTTACGGTTAATTATTATAATAAAACTTACATAGTAAAAATTTAATAATAACTTGTCATGGAAATATAACGTATAAAATGGCACATAAGTTAAATTTTATTTAGAAAATGTTAAACAAACGTAGCAGCATTTCTCTTTAATTCTATTTATTACCATACTTAAAAGAAAAAACCGTTCAATTCCTTTAATTTTTCAATATTTAAATCTCTTACATCAATAACAGTACTTTCCTTATTGAAGAAAATTGTTGTTTTTTTTTTTAAACTTAAAGTTTCTTTAAACTTAGCGAAAATAAAGATCTAACACTCGAGCACGTATAGCGAGCAATAATTCACAGTAACGAAATTACAATTTAGCCGACATGGGTAATCCCATTATTAAGGAGATCAATTTATTTCCACACAAGCCATTTTCCGAACATGCCAGAAACAAATATGTACAATTGAGTATCGTATCGACTAATCGAAGACGCAGCCAATTTAAGGGGGCGACTATTCACCCACCACCTACTTGAATATTATCATATAAATTCGCCATCCATCGATCCCGCAAAATTAATCAGATTCCATTTGCACGTTGCATTTATGAATGATGTGTCTTTAATTAATTGGCCTGCATAGCTATAATAAAGCGGCCCCTTGATCATTCGATTTTAATGTGTGTCGCTAATGTTTTGCAAGGCTCCTTCTTCCCAATCTCCCATAGGCGCCCAGGAAAATATTTCGCAGGATATTTTATCGATCGGAGCTGCTCTCTTTCGCCGCTTCCCTCTGTTCCTGCAGACCTATCTTTCTCCCTGGCCCCCCTCTTCACACCCCTCCACCCACCCCCGCTCATTCGCCCTACGTGCACGTGATTTCAATTTCAGCGTTTAGATGCTGAAAGCACCACGACTATCATAAATACGCGACTTGAAAAGGAGTATCACAGTCGGCGATCGTTTTTCCAAATCGCTCGATGCACGAATAACATTAAGAAATCATTTTTATTTTGCTGCATTCCACTAACTACTGTAATGTATAAGTAATTTTATATAATAATTTTGTATGCATTTCCAACAATACTAATTTGTAGTAATACACATTCATAGAAAATAGTAACTTTTTAAACTATTTTCCTTCCATAATATTAAAAGCTTTCTATCATTCATGAAGGATAATAGTTCAATTAATGTTATTGTAACTTAAAACAATTTTACATCTCCTTATATAAATTTGAATCAACGAATATTGTTACGAAATAAAATTAATAAAGCCATTAGGTAAGATTAGAATTATGTTTATAAAGTGCAGTTAGAACTGTACATTCTACTTAAATATTTCCTAATATATAATGATAAAGGGCGCTGCCCTTTCAGATTTTGATTATCAATAGATAGAAAACTACAGTAAGGATGGAATTAAAAGAGAAGTGAGTAGTTGTGGAAGGAGTCTTGATTAAACAGAAATTAGAAGAAAACGCTGATACAGCATTAATGTATTTTATATTGTACAAACGTCGGATAATTCAAATGGTTAATAATATTCGTTGTAATTGCGTGGGATGGGATTTATGATTACATAAATTATTTTTAATGGCATTTGAATTTAATGTTACGTTTTGTATTTATATCATAAAACATGTGTTCATCCAATAATGTCAAAACAGGAAGTACAGAAAAGCAGATTTAAATTCGAGCACTCAAGCTTTCGTAATAAAAGCATGAATAAGATATTCTCGCATTTTACGTGTTAATATTACAGTACAAAGTGCAAATAGTCGTATTTCAAAGTAACTTAAAATATATCACTCCTAACAAAAAAATATTTACTTCTCTAATTTTATATTAAATGTTACTTTTAAAGATCTATACTCATTATCTATTGTTATCTTTCAACGTCGAATATAATAAATAGAAGCGGTTCTTATTATAAAATAAGATTTCAATAAAAAAAATAAAATAAAATAATAATAATAATAATAATAAATTCAAAGTCTCTGAAGCGGATATTTAAGATGTGAAGTTGAGCAAAATATAGCAAGAAACAATGTATGAAATCGGCACTACCAACCTATTCATTGACGGTGCAACACAATTACGCAATAGTAGTTACTTTAACACATTTTTATGTTTAAAAATTAATTTTAATAGTTAATTTAACACATTTTTATTTTTAAACATTTTTATGTTTCATTCTTTAACATAATTTACACATAATACACAAATACACCTATCTTCTACTCTTCGTCTATTTTCTTCGCGCTTTTATTTCCCAGCCCTTTATGAAACTGATAGGCATTTTTATAATATGTGCGACGCATCGTGGCGCATAAAAAAAATTGTAGAAAATCAAGTTGGCACGGCATTATGAGAAAACGCCGAGCGCTTGATGAATTGGCTTTTTCATCTCCTTCATCTCTTTCATTTTCTGTCCTTCCATTTTTTTGATAACTTCTTTTCGAAATTTAGACTCGATTCCTGAATATCTGATAATGAATTTACATCTTGGTTAACAATGCCGATATCTTTTTCAACCTTGCATTCACAGTTTTAACTGTATTGTACTCGGCATATTGTGGTTGGACTGTATTGCAATACCATTTGGAAATTGATGGACATTTCTTTTCAACGTCGACGTGAAGGGAAAAGTGAAGTCAACGTGTATTTGTACTGACACGTCCAATTTTTCAAGTAGAATACATTTCAAAATTGTGTATTAAGGCTTGAATACTTAGCTTATTATTAAATAAACAATATAACGTATATACATTTATCCAATGACTTTAATTAAGTTTAATTCTTTCCACTTTTTATCTTTCAACAATGCTACTTAAAGAAAAAAACAAATAACTGCAATATTAACTTACGAAATTACTTGTTATAATTTATTATAACAAAGCAAAATATTAAAAACTTATGTAAACGATTACATAATTTTACCACATAAAGACTTTATTACAATACATACACCATACAAATGCTAATATTTCCATTAATGATATGATTAATGATCTAAATAATGATAATAGTCAATGTGTTGTTAAAACGTAAAGTAGTTTAAAACCTGGCAAGAGTAAGAAAGATAAGATTAAGTTAGATTTTAAACAATGGTTGGTTATTATGAAAAGTAGTAAATTATAAAGTATATATTCACAAGATCAAATATCAGAAAATCAAAAAAGGAATTTCTTTAAATTCTCATCTATATGTAAACAACCACATCATTGTTTTCTTCGATATATAACACTGACATGAAATAATTCATCCTTAACAAAATCTGTACTCTTTCAATAAATATT